CGTGGAACGATCGGACGTTGCGGCAGCGGCCGATCCTTCAAGGTTGAACGATCCCTGCGGTGTCAAAAACCAGCGCTGGGGTCGGCACGACACGAACCTGCCGTACAGTCTGTGATGGACACTGTCCACCTGGCCGCAGTTGGCAGCGTCCAGCTGTGGTGACGCCTGCCGACCGAGCGCGTGCGTCTGTCCAGAGGCCGTCGCCGGTAGCACATCCCACAAATATCAGGAGGAAAAAACACACAGACACAATTAATCGTCGATCCCCAGGAAAATATGCCAAAATATGGGAAGTGGGGGGGAAAACGAAAGTCAAACAAATATGGCCCGAAAGTGGGGGGGAAGTGGGGGGGAAACGAAAGTGTGTCCCAGGGCCCCTTCAAAATAGTCTTTGATACCTCGAGTCGCCAAAGTATACGCATGCTTGCACTGGAGTCCGATCTCCATTATATCAAACAGCGAAGCAGGCGTGAGCTGCCCTACGTCGACCTCGATATCGTTGCGGCCTCCCCACGGCACAGGATGGGACGCTTCCCATCTGGCCCGGAGTGCTGCAAGCCTCGCTCTTCCAAGGGGCCCTTTGCTCTTGTGCCAGCTGGGTGCCTCGCTAGCTCTCGTCTCGTCCCACATGCGGCACAAACGTGGCAAAGGGCATTGTGCACGGTCGGGGCTGGATTGCGACAGCCAGACCATTCACTCTACGGCACTAAAGCGTTGGGGCTGAAACTGATCTGGCACTCGTCAACAGGCATACTTGCCTTTGCACCCTGCCTGGTGCCTCCGTATGCAGCACAATTGAGGCTTTGGACCTCAATGCCGAACGCCGCACTTGTGGCGACCCCATGCTTGCAGTACGTTGTGAACAAAAAGGACAGCTTGGCTCATCCATGAGCAGGTTTGGCGAGATGCGAGTGCTCTGAGTCTCAGACGCATCTTGCAAAGCCGACTCCTCTGCTCATCTCTGGCTCCAGCTCTGGTACGCTTGCGAGCCCTTGACTGGTTCACTCCTGGACAAGCTACGTTCGTGACAGCCGTTTCTCTGCATGGGCCTAAGTCTCGGCTGACTTCCCGCGTAAGATCGGTCCTGCTCGAGATCACCGCGACCTTGTCTTTGAGGCTGGTCTCTGACGCGATGACAGCGTCGAAGCTGGCAACTGCATGGGCTTCGATCGGCATATCATTGAAACCGTCTCCTGGTAGGAGGCCTAGCTTGGGGAGCATGACAGACTGAACATGGTGTTGCCCTAGCCGCATAATCACGGGACCTTTTCCCGAACATTGTAACCAAGCGTCGTGAAACCAGTGGGCGTCCCCAAAGCTAGGAACTTATCCCTTCACTCCTGGAAGTGTAGGGTTTCGCAATATTTGGAAATATCGTCACCGAGCAAAACACTGACACTTGGATGCGCTGACGCCTTCCTCGCTCCTGGCTGCCTGGGGCCAATCACAGTCAACAGCTGCCCTTCCTTTCGACCCACCCCCCAGAAGGAGGATGAGGAGATGATGATGATGATGATGCTGATGATGCTGATGATGATGCTGATGATGATGATGACGATGATGATGCTGCTGCTGATGATGATTATGATGACGTTGATGACGATGGCGATGCTGATGACTCTGCTGATGATGCTGATGATGGTGATTGTGATGGTTGTTATTATGAGGAGGAGGAGGAGCATGGTGATTATGATAATGAGGGTGAGGATGCTGTTGATGTTGATGCTGATGTTGATGATCGCGATGGTGCTGATAAGGATGATGATGCTGATGATGATGCTGATGCTGACGCTGATGCTGCTGATAATGATGCTGATGATGGTGGTGATGGACCTGCGGAGGGCTCGACCTCCTCTCAGGGCCCACTCTCTCGCCACACATGCGGTCTCAGATGAATCACGCCGTACTTCACCCCTGTCTTAGGAGTGGGGAGCTTGCTGTGGTCACAGCCTGCGATACATAGATACCGTAGCACCTGGCAGATGCGGATAAGAGTGAGGGGGCGTTGGGGACTTCGGCAGTTTGCGAGACTCTGGAGAAGCCCGCCGCAGGCGCCGAAGTTTCACACATTATCCAACGAGCTCGCCGCAGGCGCATATTTTTTTCGTTATATAAGCCAATGTGGGTACGTCGCGGGTGGGTCGCGGGTGGGTCGTTGTTGGGTCGCGGGATGGATTGCGGGGTGGGTCGCGGGTGGGTCGCTGGATGGGTCGCGGGTGGGTCGCAAGTGGGTCGCCAGTTGGGTCGCGGGGTGGGTCGCGGGTGGGTCGCGGGTGGGTCGCGGGGTGGGTCGCGGGGTGGGTCGCGGGTGGGTCGCAGGTTGGGTCGCGGGGTGGGTCGCGGGTGGGTCGCGGGTGGGTCGCGGGTTGGGTCGCGGGGTGGGTCGCCGGGTGGGTCGCGGGTGGGACGACGACAACACCAACACACAATACTAACAGCAACTTCAACACCAACAACGCAACAATCATAATCTTCACCATGGATCCCCATTTCAGCCACGCACCCAGGGACAATGCATGACCGTTCGGCCCCCTCCTTCTGATATTAGGACTCTGATGATGATGATGATGCAGATGCTGATGCTGATGTGGATGCTGTTGATGACTATGATGATGCTGCTGCTGCTGCTGCTGATGATGATGATGATGATGAGGATGATGATGATGATGATGATGATGATGATGATGATGATGATGATGATGATGATGATGATTATGATGATGATGATGATGATGATGATGATGATGATGATGATGATGATGATGATGATGATACTGGTGATGATGAGGAGGACGATGATGGTGACAACGATTATGATGATGATGGTGATGGCGATGCTGATGAAGATGCTGCTGATGATGCTGATGCTGAGGTCGTACGGGTGGGGGGAAGAATGAGGCAGGAGGCGTGAGGAGAAGGCATGGGGATTGATTTTGATGACGCGAAGGAGGAGGAAAGGGAGGAGGAGGAGGAGGCGATGGAGGCGTTTATTTGTGGTTTCGGGGGCGCCCTGGGCTTGGTGGGCCCAGGAGGCTCTGACAAGCTATGCTGAGCCTGTTTGCCCAATCCTCGATGCCCAGCGCACAGATGATGTAATGTAGCGGGTCATCTATGATTACCTTCCTTGCCAATCTCTCTGCGGCACCACTGCTGCAGGCCGAACGCAGGAATTCGGCGACCCGCGGGAAAGCAATTACACATCGTCAGCTGCTTCGCTCGTTTCTCTTCCTCCTCCTCCTCCTCTTCTTTCTCTCAGTTCTTCATTCTCCGCCGTTCTTGCTTCTCATCGTCCTTTCTTCTCCCCCTTGTTCCCCTGCTCCCCACTTTCCCCCCCCCACCTCCACGTGCCTCCTCATCTTGTCTCCGTCTCGGAACTCCCCAGCCCACCTGCGGAGCCCTCATGTGAACTTCGTGTATATTGGGCCAGGGAGGAAGGCCGTGCGGCCGTAACACTCCTTGTATGTCTCTGTCTATGCTCTTCTGTTTCTATGTCTCTATGCCTGTCCCTGTGTCTGTCTGCCTGCCTGCCTGCCTGTCTGCCTGTTTGTCTGTCTGCCTGCATGTCTGTCTGTCTGTTCTGCCTGTCTTGCCGTGCCTGTCTGTCCGTCTGTCTGTCCGTCTGTCTGTCTGTCTGTCTCTCTGTCTGTCGTGTCGGTCTGTCTGTCAGTCTGCCTCTCTGTCTGTCTGCCTGCCTGCCTGTCTGTCTGTCTTGTCTGTCCTGTCTTGGCTTGTCTTGTCTTGTCGTGGCTTGCCTTGTCTTGTCATGTCTTGTATGTTATTTCTCGTGTCTTGTCTTGGCTTGGCCTGCCTTGGGTTGTCTTGTCTTGTCTTGCCTGTCTGCCTTCTTGTCTGTCTGTCTGTCTGCCTGCCTGTCTGTCTGTCTGTCTGTCTGTCTGCCTGCCTGTCTCTCTTTCTGTCTCCCTGTCTCTCTCTCTCTCTCTCTCCTCGGACATGTCGCGGGAGAAGACTGTGCAGGCTGGTTATATGTGGAGGCGGTTGGTGGGCGAAGAGACGCAGCTTGCCGAGGCAATGGCAAAGTGCAGTCCAGAGAGGCACCGCACATACGTGGGCGAAAAGAGACGCGGTGGGCGAAAAGAGACGCGGTTTGCCGAGGCCGGTTCTACTGACGATACGGTGGGGGGCATTGGAGAAAAGAACCCTCAGATAAGGAATCCGGGTTCTGGAGGCCAGTGGAGTTCCAATCGTGGATTGGCCATGGATGTCTCCACCGCCCCTCTTAGATACGGAAGCCCCCAGTGTCTGAAGCCTCCTGGGCTCAATCCTTAACCAACACCCCCACCGTAATGGCAATCAAAGAGAGGCACCGCACATGCGTGTGATCTTCGTCGGAAGTTGATTGTGCATCCTGTTCGAGGCGCGCACGGACGCAGAACGTGCATTATGACTGCCATTTCGAGCGCTCACACCTCGCTCTGTTGCCGTGGTCTCCAACTCTTGACGTTTCGCGTGCGCATCGCCGTCAGCCTATCCATACGCGATCCCCGTCCCTTTGCGAGTGGGAAGGCTGTGACGGAGCATTAAGGAAACAAAGAGGGGAGACGACACCAGTCAGACCAAAGGACGGATCAGCCCCAGTAGCCCTCAGAATTGTCGGCTCAGACCTCTTGCGGGGACATCTTGGAGGCCCGCTCGAGCAATCTCGGGTATATCTTGAGGCCCTTCGGGAGCCTGTTGTGGCGCTCCTTGGCTTGGGGCGAACGATCTGGAGGCCAGCAGTCAACAGGTGAGGGCCTTCCAGTGGGTCCTCCCTGTGGAACTGGGAAGATGTCCCCTCGTGGGGTATTAGGGCCCCCCCCGGGTGGGCCATGTTGGGGCCGCAGCTATTTTTGGGAAGAGCAGGCGCCTTGAATTATTTGTGACCAGAGGCCTGCTGGGACTGAGGAAAGGGGATGAACCTTGCGGCGAGAGGGGCGTGATTGACATGTGGAGACAGGAAGCGTGCGACATGGGCCATGCACGATTTGTCTTGGGCAGGGTGAGGTATACGCGTGAAATAAGCGCGCAGCCACCGCGAGATCGTTTTCCTCTAGTTGCGTTCGTTCAGGTTGCAGCGCTCTAGGCGCTGTGCACTCGAGCGGCTGCATTAGCGCTGCAGCCTCACCGAGGACCCCTAGGCCGTGGACCAGCCCACTCCTCATTCGTGGCGGCGCCTATACGGGGGTGGCGCGAGGGTGGCGGCCTTCTCAGAAGGCGGCAGGTCTTCCAAGAAGGCCCGCCTGGATTCTAAGAAGCCTCCTAACAAGGCTCCAGGGCCTTCTAAGAAGGCCCCTGCCTTCGAAAAGGCCGCCATCTGGATAAGCCGCGCCCCTCGCGCCACCTTCACTCGGGTGCCGCCAATATTTCCCTACGGGATGGGCGATACTGCTTTCCAATTCACTCTCTGGCAGCGCTCGCACGCTGGAGCCTGTAGCCCGTCGCGAGAAACAGGGTGAGCAGCAGGTGTCCCGCGGTCGTCTTTCAGCGCTACCTGTAGCAGAGCAGACTGGTTCTTTTGCAGCATGGGCACCGTTACTGATGTCGCAGAGCTGCACGAGGCAGAACGAGCGGCGTTCCAGGTCTGAGAAGATCCTCGGGCAAGGGCGAGGAGGAGGAGGAGGAGGAGGAGGAGGAGGAGGAGCAGGAGGAGGAGCATCGCTGGATTATTGCGGTCAAGCGGGTGACCAGGAGGCATGCGTGCACACCCCGATGGCCCCGCGGCCGTGCCCTGCCACCGAGGCTGTTACAGGGCGGAGGCGCGAGGAGCTTCGGATTGAATCGAGAGCACAACTCACAGGAGGGTTGAGAACAACCGTCAAACATTTCCCTGGCGATGGACCCAACCGTATGCAGCTGTGAGTGCCACGATGTGGCACCGCTTCCTGTGGAGCTCCCTATGGGGCCAAGAATCGTGTCAGGGGTGTGCCGAAATGGACGGGAAACCGCATGCGAACTCTGCCACTGGGGCCTTCGGTGCAGCTCCCTATGGGGTCACGAAGCGTGTGAGGGGTGTGCCGAAATGGGCGGGGAACCGGATGCGAACCCTGCCCTGCGGGCCACGAAAGCCACGAAACGCGTGAGATGTGTGCTGAACTGGGCGGGGAAACGCATGCGAACCGTGCAACTGGGGCATTGCGTGGAGCTCCCTATGGGGCCACGAAACGTGTGAGGGAGGTGCCGAGATGGGGCGGGGAACGTATGCGAACCCCGTAACTGGGGCCTTCTGTGGAGCTCCATATGCGGCCACGAAACGTCTGAGGGAGGTGCCAGAATGGGGGGGGGGGACCGCGTGCGAACCCTGCCACTGTGGCCTTCGGTGGAGCTTCCTGTGGCCTCCCTGTTCCTCCCCTCCTCTCGCCTTCTCCTCCTCTTCCTCTCTCCTCCAGATCGTCATTATGCGAGCTGCTTTAAAAAAATGTCTCGATGATGCCCAATGGTGTACAGCTTTGTTGCGATTGATGGGATGCGGCCACGAAGCGTGTGTGGGGTGTGCCGAAAGGGGCCGGGAAACGAATGCGAACCCTGCCACTGAGGCCTTCCGTGGAGCTCCCTTTGGGGCCACGAAGCGTGTGAGGGGTGTGCCGAAATGGGCGGGGAATCGCATGCGAACTCTTCCACTGGGGCCTTCGGTGGAGCTCCCTAAGGAGCTTACGAAGTGTGTGATAGACGTGCCGAGATGGGCATGCGGAGGGCAGAGGCAGGGATGGAAAGAGGGGAGCTGGAGAAGACGGAGAGGAGGAGTGAGACTCGGAGCGCTGTCTCTTCAAAACGAGGACCCAACACCACCGTGGGAACAATGGGACATTAGCGATTTTGACCTCCAGGGGCCCTCTTGGCGGCGCTCTTCGAGCTTTCTTGGGCCGTTTTGTGGGCTTCGTGGGCCATTTTGAAACTATCTTGGCCGCCTTAGACTTGTCGAGGGTCGTTCTGGAATGGTGTTGGGCGGCATATTTCGAAACCAACGTGGCCGTCTTGGAGGCCTCTTAGTCCGTCTTGGCCCCATCTTGGCGCCCTGGCAATTGCAAGTGGAAAGAGGCCCTGGATGAGCCCAGAGGGGAGTCGTCGTAGGCCAGGGGAGGGTCAAATGCGCAGCGTTGGACCCCGGGGAGAATGGATTTCACACGCCTGGAGACCCACGAAAGGGATCTGCGGATTTATAGCCTAGGCAGTGTTCCAGCTCAGAGTGCGCAGCATGATTATGTGTGAGTGCAAAAAAGCTTCCCCAGAGAAGTGGCTTCAGAGATGCCGCGATGCTGGAGGAGGTGGGCTCCGAGGACGCCGACGACACTCCGACGGTGGCGACGCGTCGCCCCCAGTGCACGATGCGCGCGGGGGTGCCGCGAACGCCGCCCGCCGCGCCGGAGCCGCGAGGACCGCCCGGCCTCCGCGCGGCTGCGCCCGCCAGCGCGCCGCAGCGGGGCCTGGGCCGCACCGCGCCCTCGTGGGGGGGGGGGGCGCCGCGGAGGGGCGGCTGCGGCCGCCCGAGCCGCTCCGAGCACCTGCGGGCCGCCGCTGCCCCGTCGGGGCGATCGAGGTGGGCACGGAGGGAAGGGGCATTCGGGGGTGGACAGACCTCCTACCCTGACACGTCGATTAAGGAATTGGCCGTTTTCGGTTCGCGAGAGGGCGTCGCGGCCGTCATCTTTGCGGGTCCAGGTCCGTCGGCTTCGGTCCCAGGCCGTTTTCACTGAGGGGAGGTCTACTAAAGGGAGGTTTGTCCACCGCCGAGGTATACGAAGACCGGCAGCAGTTCGGGGGGCGGCCGAACCGACCCCTGTCGGGCCATCCCCTGCCGTTCGTCATGTCCCCCTCGCCTCGCCCCGAGGCCTACGGTGCGCGGCCGGAGGGCAGCCTGAAAGGCGAGGGTGGCGTCACGGAAGGGGATGATTTGCTAGGGTTAAGTCGGGCCTGTCCTTCTACAGGAGGAATCTTCAGAAGTATTTAGAAAATAGTTACGGAGACATGTTTTCCATTATTTTTGTTCATGTTGTTTTTTGTTTGACGTTTCTTGTTTTTCGTCCAAAATTCGCCTGTAGGAGGACACGCCCGACCTAATGCGAGGGGTCGGTTAAGCCATGCCCGAGCGGTCCCTGCCCACTTTGAGCATGGAGCGCTGTCGGCGTCTCAGCGGTAGTTCTCCACTTGAGATAGCAGGTTGCCTGCCCAGCAGCGGCCGCTGTCGGTATTGGACAACATGCGTTGTGGGCATCGTGCCCATTCTTTCCCTACCCATTTCGGGTGTGCCAGCCCCAGTTCCGGAAGCGCGGCGGAAAACCGTGGTGCCTGAGGTCGTACATCGGGGGCGGCCAAAGAGGGGGATCACTAAGTAGGGGGTGGATATGATGGCCAGGGCCATGGCATCTCCCCAGATCTCATGGCGCCTCTTCTTCTTGTCGTGCGTCTCCTAGCTCCGCTTGGACCGCGCACGTGCCTCGGGCAATGATTTGCGACGCCCCTCTTGGACGCCTCCTTCTTGGACGCTCCCGATGATTCCGGATGTCGTCTAGGAACGTGGTGTAAATGGGGTGCGGTGCCGCGGCTGAAAACAGTGATGCTATCTATGATAGCCGCAGGTGCCTTGCATCCCGATCTCAACAACGCTGGCTCTCTGCCGACCGCTTCAAACAAAGCCAGGATGCCTGATTCCAGCTCCCCCACCCGTCCACGGTCCAACCTGAACGGCGACACCAGTGGTGGTCACCAGTGGTGATCGCCCACTCCCCGCGCCGTGCGCCGGACGCCGCGCCACGCCTCGAGTCGGACGCCGCGCTGGGCGAGGCGGGCGCGGTGCGGCGAGGCAGCGCCGCTCGCGGCGTCTGCGGCAGCGGCCTCGGCGCGGCCCCGCGAGGGCCCAGGGCCCGGGGTTCCACGGAGCGCGCCCTCTCTCGGTCTGCGGGCGCGAGCTGGTGGTGGTCGTGGAAGGCCAGGGGCAGCGATAGGGGGGATCGGCTCAGGGAGGGGGCGCTTCTGGTTCGAGGCTCGAAGTCTGCCTGGCTTTTCCGTATACTCTCGGCTAGGGGGCCTCAGGCGAACCCTGCCCCTGCCCCCCACGATTTCTGAGGGGGAGGCTGGGGTTCGCTTCGATCGGGAGCTCCCGAGTGAAGTGAACCCCACCCTCCCCCACAGAAGTCGTGGGGGGTCGGGGGAAGGGTTCGCATGTGGCCCCCTATCGGCGGGCTTCCAGCCTCGGGGTGCGCTCCAGCAGCTGCGCCTCGACGAGGGCGCTCCCGGGGTGCTCGCATATCGGCCCAGACAAGCGGCCGCCCGAGGCCCGACTGGTGGCGCGGAAGCCGAAGCCCAAGTCGGGGGCAGCGTTGGAGGGGGGGGGGGGGGCGGCTGGGCTCCGGGGGGGCATGCACGGACCCCGAATCGCCAACCTCATCGCCGAGAAGGGGCCCGATGGCCCCCCCTCCGCCCACGAGCGTGCGGGGGCGCTCTCGGTGCCCCTTGAGGTTGCCCCCTCCCTGTGCCAGTGCCCCCGATCGCTGCCCCTCGGACGAGAGCCATGATCAGGGTCGGGCTTTCCGGGGACGCCGCTCTGGAAAAACTGGGACGTCGAATGTCTGGGGTTAACGATTCTCGCGTTGCGAGGCAGGGGTTGGGAGGACAAGGGTATAGGGCAACGGCACTCACGTCCAGGCGAGCCGCAGCAAGAGGGCCACCGTGGGCTGGACGAGCGCGGCCTCCCCGAGGGGCCGCCACCGGCGCGGGACGGCCGGCGGCGAAGGGGCGGATGATGCGGGCTCCGAGCAGATCCCGACGCGCAGCACAGTCTTTCTGGCAACTTCGGGGTGTGCGTTCAGTTTGCCAGGCGCACCAGTTTGGTGCCCCCCCCCCAGGGCTGGCCGGCCCTGGGGGGGGAGGTCGGGTTCGGATAATTCAGAGGCCGAGAGAGAGCGAGAGAGAGAGAGAGAAAGAGAGACAGAAAAAAGAGAGAGAGAGAGAGAGAGTGAGGAGGGGGAAGAGGGTGAGAAGAGGAGGGCACGTAACAAGACTCAGGCCAGAAAGGGGCACCCCAGATGAAGAGCCCCTCGCGTGAAACAAATGCACTTCAAGAGCTTCGACGTTTACCCCACGAGAGTTCGCCCCTCCACGCCTTCTTTCCCAGGCGTCAGACGTTCCATGTCTGGGCCCTTTCCCGGGGACATGTTTGTTTTTCTTGTTTTTTTGTATCCTGCGTCTTTTTGTCGACGGTCCCGTGGCTCGCTGGGAGCGCCCAGAGGCCGAAACTTGCCGAAACCTACGGTCGGGATCTTTACACACCGCGCGAGGGCGTCAGGAATGAACAGCGAGCAGCCTGGAGCAACGGGACTGCCATCAAGCCCGACGCACACTTGACCTGTCACAGAACCGCGGGGGGAGGCCCGGTCCGCTCGCCAGCCTCCTGCGCGGGGTCCGATCCCTTCCCTTCCTCCTTCCCAGGCCCTTCCAGAGGCCCAGAGATGGCCTCCAGAGGTCTTTACCCATGTGGTGACGTGCGCACTCGTGACATACCTGTGACAGAGTTGTCACGCTCGTGTTCGATTACAACGGGGTTTATACTAAGTTGCAGCATCGTTGATTTTCCTTCCAGTCACTTCATTCACTGCTGAGACTTCGGAGGCAGAGGTGGCCGATAGTGTGCGAGACATTCCCGAGCGTGCCTTGGAGTCCCCCTCCGCCGAGGCGCAAGAGGTTGCCAGCCTGTGGTGACTTTTTGTGCACTGCTGGAGCGCTCCGCCTGTGCCGGCACAGGCCTGGCTCAGGGAACCGCAGCGGTGGAAGGCCCAGCCGCGCCCCGCTTGCCGTGCCTCGGAACATACAGAGCGGCATGGGCATGATCTCTTGGAGGCCAGCGGATCGGCTTTCGGCCCCCCTCCCTGGCGCGTGGATCGCGCCGCCAGGGGGCCCCAACGCCGCTTCAAGAAGTCCAAGCGGACCTTCATGAAATCGTGATGATGCAGTTTTCTGTTCTTCCAGTTCCCTCGCCAGAGGTCTGGCGGGCTGGTCCATTCGAGTCCGCGGGCCCTCAGAGATTTCGGCCTACCCCTGAGATCCGACGTCGCGAGCAAAGATGCAGCACCGTGAAACGTCGCAACCAGACCCCTCGACCCCGCCTTTCTGCTGCATGTCTCGAGCTGCATCGATCTCCACGAGGGCCCCGGGCCAAGAGAATGGGCGGAAACGCCGGGTGCAAAGAAGTCGCAGGCCAAAGTTTGCAGCAGCGTACTTTGTCGGAGGTCTGGCCCGTTTCCCGCCCCCCCTATGACGTAACGCTCCCCCCCCACCCAGTGCGCTTTGGGCACTGCCGCCGCGCGCATCGAGATCTGCACAGGTGTCCGAATAGGAGTCTGTTCCGCAGTCGTCGTCGTCGTCGTCGTCGTCGTCGTCGTCGTCGTCGTCGTCGTCGTCGTCGTCGTCGTCGCTCGTCGTCGCTCGTCGCTCGTCGCTCATCGTCCTCGTGCGCGCGGACGCGGTTGGAGCCTGTTTCTTATTCTGGGCCGATGGCGGCAATCATCTGGGGGGTGGTAATGTCACGATTCGCGCCAGTGGCGTCTGGGAATGCCCAGGAATGACCGAGGACGGGTAGCAGCAGCATGTTGGTGGCGATCTGCACCACAGCGCCTGTGTACACCACAGTGCCTGCGTGCACCACGGCGCCTGTGTACACCACACCGCCTACGTACACCACAGCAGCCGCGTGCAACACAGCGCCAGCGTGTGCTACAGTGCCCGCGGGCACCACAGCGCTTGTGTACACAACAGCGCCCGCGTACACCACATCAGCCGTGTGCAGCACAGAACCAGCGTACACCACAATGCCTGCGCGCACTGCAGCCCCTGTGTACACCACGGCGCCTGTGTACACCACGGCAACCGTGTGCAACAGAGCACCACGGTTGCATATAGAATTGTTTCGAATCCTTGTGGCAAAATGGAGCGCTTGTGGATTCCACTGAAAGGAATCCTTATGGAAAAAGGTGCGCCGTTGGAATCTACGAACCCTCCCGAGCCCGGCCGCATCATCCGAATTTCTCCCATCAGCGCCAAGGAGGCTCCTGCAAAATTGGCCGTCCGAGAACCAAGTGGAATGATTCAATAAACCATTATGCGGTGCACGCAGAGATGTGCACGTGCGCTGTAGCGCCGACCCGCACGGAAGGGGGAAGGGTGGGTGAGTATGATGATGATGATGATGATGATGATGATGATGATGATGATGATGATGATGATGATGATGATGATGATGATGATGATGATGAGGAGGAGGAGGAGGAGGAGGAGGAGGAGGAGGAGGAGGTGGAATGGAGGAGGAGGGAGAAGGAAATAACGTCGCATTCTATTATCAACACTCCCCTGGCGTGGTGTTTCGCTATCCGCCGAAAATC